GGCCCGGTTGAGCTCAGGGGCACCACGCGGGGTCCCTGCCGGCCCAGTGGGTGGCGGCCGCCAGATGGTCCTTGTTGACACAGTTCTTCAGGCCGTCTGGGATCCGGCCTGGGACGGCACTGCGGATCTCCCGGCCCCGCCTCGCGCATCTCGGTGGATGCCTGCTGGCTGTACCACGCAGCGTGGGGGGTGCAGAAGAGACTGGCCGCATCCTGGGGGGCCTGGCTAAAGCTGAAGGGTTCTGGCTCCTGCACGTCCAGGGCCGCGCTGGGCCAACGCCTTCTCGTCCGCCAGGCCGCCCCGGGCCGTGTTCACCAGGAAGGCCCCTTGTCTCACCCCAAAGGACAGCAGCATTCTGAAGGAAAGCGCAGCCAGGCGCAGTGGTTCAGGCCTGTAATCCCAGCACTTTGGGAGGCCAAGGCGGGTGGATCACTTAAGGTCAGGAGTTTGACATCAGCCTGGCCAAAATGGTGAAACCCCATCTCTACTAAAAATACAAAATTTAGCTGTGTGTGGTGGCGCATGCCTGTAATCTCAGCTACTTAGGAGGCTGAGGCAGGAGAATCGCTTGAACCTGGGAGGCAGAGGTTGCAGTGAGCAGAATTCACGCCACTGCACTCCAGCCTGGGTGACAGAAGGAGACTCTGTCTCAATAAATAAATAAAATAAAAGAAAGCAACATAAACTATGTTGTTTGTACAAACAGTTTAGGCACAGTGAGCCACTCTTATTAGGTAGGGAATGGTGATAGCCCTCTCTAAACCCAAGTTTCTAGATGCCAAATTTGCAAGCAGCCTTCTCTAAGGACAGCAGTCTCAGACCTGCTATTCTGACTCTTCTGAACAACATCCTAGACAAAAGTACTAATTCTTTTTTTCCCCCCCCCACTATGGAGTCTTGCTCTGTTGCCCAGGCTGGTCTTGAACTCCCGGGCTCAAGCGATCCTCCTACTTCAGCCTCCCAAAGTGCTAGGACTACAGGTGTGAGCCACCACACCTGGCCAGGTTCTACTTTTTAATATTTAAAATATGGAATAGACTGGGCATGGTGGCTTACACCTGTAATCCCAGAAATTTGGGAGGCCGAGGCAGGCGGATCACCAGAGGTCAGGAGTTCGAGACCAGCCTGGCCAACATGGTGAAACCCTGTCTCTACTAAAAGTATAAAAATTAGCCAGGTGTTGTGGCAGATTCTTGTAATCCCAGCTGCTCAGAAGGCTGAGGCACTTAAACCAGGGGGGTGGAGATTGCAGTGAGCCGATATCATGCCACTGCACTCTAGCCTCAGTGACACAGTGAGACTCTGCGTCAAAAAAAATAAAAAAAAGAAAAGAAAAGAAAAACAAAAACAAAAAAACAAACTAGATGGTGTCAGTGATTTCTATTGCATCAGGTCTGGAGGCAGTCTGTACCTGATTGCTCCACTTTTAGTGGTGCTAAGTTCAAATAATTCAGGTGGTGAGAAACTGACTCCTTCACTGCAAACATCCCCATCATCCTCTCATCTAATACAGTAGTTTCATCCGTTGCCATCTTTGCCTCAATAAATTAATTAAATGCCACAAAACGGTTATTTATTTATTTATTTTTCCTGAGATGGAGTCTCACTCTGTTGCCAGGCTGGAGTGCAGTGGCGCGATCTTGGCTCACTGCAACCTCTGCCTCCCAGGTTCAATTGATTCTCCTGTTTTAGCCTCCTGAGTATCTGGGATTAAAGGCATGCACCACCACCACAGCTAATTTTTGTATTTTGAGTAGAGACAGGGCTTCACCATATTGGCCAAGATGGCCTCGATCTCCTGACCTCGTGATCTGCCCTCCTCAGCCTCACAATGTCATACCAGGATTACAGGCGTGAGCCACTGTGCCCAGCCCAAAATGGTGATTTTTATAATTCAATCATTCTATGTTTACTAATGGAATTTTTTTTTTTCTTTTTTTTGAGACAGAGTCTTACTCTGTCACCCAGGCTGGAGTGCAGTGACGCGATCTCGGCTCACTGCAACCTCCACCTGCCGAGTTCAAGGAATTTTCATGCCTCAGCCTCCTGAGTAGCTGGGATTACAGGCATGTACCAACATGCCTGGTTAATTTTTGTATTTTTGGTTTTGTTATGTTGTCCAGGCTGGCCTCAAACTCCCAGCCTCAAGTGATTCACCTGTCTTGGCCTGCCAAAGTGCTGTGATTGTGGATGTGAAACACCGTGCTCAGCCTTCCTTTTCTTTTCTCTTTTCTTTTCTTTTCCTTTCTTCTCTTCCTTTCCTTTCCCTTACTTTCTTTTTTTTTTCTTTTTTTCTTTTTCTTTTTTCTTTTTTTGCGACTGGTCTTGCTCAGTCACAGAAGTTATAGGCTGGAGTGCACTGGCACAATCATAGCTCACTGCAGCCTCAAACTCTTGAGCTCAAGCGATCCTCCTGCCTCAGCCTCCTAAGTAGCTGAGACTACAGGCGCACACCAGCATGCCATGCTAATTTTTAATTTTTTGTAGAGATGGGATCTCGCTATGTTGCCCAAGCTGGTCTCTAACTCCTGGGCTCAAGCGACTCTCTCGCCTAGGCCTCCCGAAGTGTTGGGATTACAGGTGTGAGCCACTGCACCCAGCCAACATACAGCAGATTTCTAGTACCCCAGAAGGCTCCTTCCTGATCTACACTTTCCCACAAAGGAAACTACTCTTCGGACTTCAATCGTCGTCAGTTCTGCTTCCTGCGCTTCATCTCAGTGGGATGGTGCAGTGTCTCTCGTACCGGGCTCCCTCTGTTCACCCATGTCGTGGAATGTTCCTGCCCCTTCGTTTTTCTTTTTTGGCTGTGCAGTATTCCATGATGTGAATGTATCACCATTTATTCACTCTCCTGTTGGACATTTCGGTGGTTTTCATTTGGGGCTCTTATGAATAAAAATGGCAATGAGCATTCTTATATAAGTCTTTTTGTGGACATTTGCATTCATTTCTCTTGTATACATGCTTAGGATGGAATTTCTGAAGGTAGGCATATATTTAGCTTTAGTAGAAACTGCCAAACAGGTTTCCAATGTGCTTATACAACTTTATACTACTGCCAGCTTGACAATTCTTGTACTTCTACATCTTTTCCAATACTCGGTATAACACAGCATTTAACTTTAAATAGAGATAAAATGCTGGAGAGATCCAAAGAAGTGTGCGTGTTCCTGAAGAACATCCAATAAAGGGCCTATTTTATTCATCTATGTTTGGTACTGAAAACCACTGCATGGCCAGATCAGGAAGGAGGCCTGGTACAACTCCCAAGGAGGCACATGTCCCTCAGGTGGGCTTCGTGTCCCAGAAACTCCGGGGAAGGGGTGGAGAGGTGCCTTCTGGGTGAGCTGGTCTCCTCTGGCTTTTCTTGTCCCCTAGAGCTCCCAACCAGGAGACAGAGCACAGCCTGGCCAGGGAGCAGTATCTCCTACTGCGCTTGCTGTGAGCCAGCCACTCTGCCCTCTTTCAGGAATTACAAAATCCACAGGTACCCGGCATCGTTATTTATTTATTTATTCATTTATGTGGCATGGTTTTCCTCAGCTCTGTCGGATGGGTCTCTGTGAAGGGAGCTGGGTGGGGGCGAGTGGCCCCTCCCTGGAGGAGGCAACCCCTTGGTCAGGATCTTTGGGGCTCCAGGTTTCATGAGTTAGGGGCAGTCTCCCTAGGGAAACCCTTCTTGGCTAGGGCTGGGGAGCCCACCAGAGTGACCCAATCAGTTCTCAGGGCCTGTGGTGGAGCCAAGTGGTTTCGAGAAGGCCGTGTTCAGCCCCATCCTAAAGAGCACTCAAGCAAGTTGGGGAGGAGAACGAGGGGTGCATAGCTCTGAGCTGAGAGGAGGACTAGGGTTGCACAGCTCTGAGCTGAGTCAGACCCACCTCAGGACTGAGCCCAGCAGAAGGAGGCCCAGAGTCACTGACCATAAAAGGAACAGATGCCTCCCCCGTGCTGGTTGAGATGATTCTTGGGCATCAACTCTGATAATTTCTAATTATACCCAGAAATACTGATTCACACAGCAACTAGTGAATAAGCCTTTTAGAGTTAAAAAAGCCTTGTATGATGTATTATAAGTTGACATATGCGTTGTACACAAACTAGAGGCACCGAGGTCGGCCAACAGCAGCCTAATGAGGGGCCACAGCCAGGAGATTGGATTTCTTCAAGTGCAATGGGAGTTACTGGCTAATCTTTAAGGTTTTAGCCACAGGAAAGATCAATGTATTTCAGAGTAATATGGGTGGATTCAAAATGAGGTTTAGAACTAGATCAATTAATTTTTTTTTTTTTTTTATATGGAGTCTGACTCTTATTGCCAAGGCTGGAGTGCAGTGGTGCTATCTTGGCTCACGGCAACCTCTGCCGCCCGGGTTCAAGCAGTTCTGCCTTAGCCTCCTGAGTAGCTGGGATTACAGGTACCTGCCACCATGCCTGGCTAATTTTTGTATTTTTGGTAGAGACGGGGTTTCACCATCTTGGCCAGGCTGGTCTTGAACTCCTGACCTCGTGATCCACCTGCGTTG